CTAGTAGTTCTATTCCTGAATGGGTTGGGGTTAGGATCAGGCACGGTTCTGGATAGTCTCTGTGTATCCAAGAACGTAGATTTCTATAACCCTAGGCACAATGGACTTATCACATTATTACATGTATGTCACAGTTTGTTTACCATGTCCTGTTCTAAAGAACATTTTAGGACAGTCAGTTAAAGAATAAAGATCATTTCAAAGTAAGGTATGTTTGATTTTTGCTGTGTGTAGTTTTGTTGACACAGCATTACATGCCGTAATGGGTGATTTAGTTGTGACATTAGACGAAAGTAGTACTGTATAAAGGCCTTATATTAACGTCGATTGACCGGCATTCATTGTGGTAAACAAACTGTGACGTAATAATGTGATAGGTACATTCTGGATACAACAAGACCATTGCACTTGTAAGCACAAACAAATTTATTGTCATCTCCTGCCGAGCCTCAACTGCACTTTGAGAGTCTTGGGCACATGCCTGACGGTTAGAGCCATACCAAAGACATTTAAAATGGTACATACTGCTTTCTCTGCTTAGCACTCAACATTTGGGAAAGAGTATTGGAATCAAACACACACGAAACTACCAGTGGACTAGCCTCCTGCTGTAGTGATTGCACAAATTTGAAGCAGAAAGAACATGGGAATTAAACACACACACACACACAACTACCAGTGGACTAGCCCCCTGCTGTAGTGATTGCACAACTGTGTGGTCCAAGAGCTACAGAAACAGACATGGGCGTCACCGTATGCACCATGCATGTATGGTAACGGGAAGTACTAGTACTTTAACTTTTCAAAATTTAGTCAAGAACTGCCAAAATTTGGTGTTGTCTCCTGCCGAGCCTCAGCTGCATTTTGATAGTCTTCTGCACATGCCTGACTGTTAGTCACACCCAAAAATATTTAGTGTGTACTAGTGTGTAGGCTGGCTAGAACACTGGGACAAACTATCTCATCCTAATCAAGTTAACCCTTGTCCTGCTGACATTCCTGGCACAATATTTTTCAATAATTTCATGTCTTAATTAGATCATAGACCCTCAATTTTTTTTGCCCTGCAGTGGCATAGTTACTGGAATCCGCATTCGTTGCGTTTTGCTGCGGTGTGATGCGTTGCACGAGAAATACCCCCAAATCGTACCTATACAGGGTGCTATATAGACGGTACTGTATGTGCAGAACGACAATTGTTGCGCTCAGCAGGACAAGGGTTTTAAGAGCTGTGATTTGGTGTCATCTCCTGCCCAGCCTCAGCTGCACTTTGAGAGTCTTTGGTACGTGCCTGATGGTCAGCGACACTCGCGTGTCTCGCGTTAGCGTGTCACCGACGGCCACGCCGCCGCAGGAGGTCAAGTTCGCGACCGTGTCGGTGACGTCGTCTGTCGCTCGCTCGGCGATACCGTGGAGAAAACGGTGGTACAGATCCTCCTGCAGGACCAGGAGGCTGCGGGGCTGCAGCAGGAGCGACATGCAGTACCGCTGATCCTCACTAGAGGGCACTGATGCCTGCCCAGCCTGGGGGAGTGTAAAGATCAACATGTAACATACAACAAATACTGCAAAACCTTAGGTACACAGAGTAGTACTATCATATTTACGTTATATAGTAATGAGAGGGATTTCCTATATTCTTATATGATGGATAAGTTCCCCAGCTTTGGTCATTTAAATGAATCAAAAAAATTCATATTTCTTATGAAACTTGACAAACAATGTATCACTAGTTCTATATGCTCGTACATCTATAACTGCGTCAAGAAGCAAGAAGAAGTTGAACTTGTAAATAGTAGATCACATTAGTATGTATAGTTTAAGTGTCATTGCTGTATCCTTTTCCGTGTCTATTCATGACCTGTACTTAATAGCTTGTTAGAGCACAAACGTACAATAAAGGTCTTTCATTCATTAATGCAGACTGACCTGCTCCTGGCTCCCAGCATCCCCTTCTCCCCCAGGGGGTAGGGGTTTGTAGAAGTCGAGCAGCGTGTGGGACCCCAGGTTGACCGTGGTGACGGTGGGATAGAACAGAGGACCGTCCTCGTGGGGCTGGGAACATACATTGTCATGATCAGTTCAGTGTACATGTACTGATACTATCATGAAAGTTCATCTGTGTGGGACTGAGTAATCATAGTAAAACATTGAACTTTATTCCAACACAAGGGTTACAGAGCGATCAAATTTTCGACGACCACTGTCACCTTCATCAGGATAACTAATGACCAGTCACTTTACAACGTGATCTCGCGAGAGTTACTGTTTACAAACACGTGACCTTATTCACACGAGACTTTACTGATACATAACGTGACATTGGTCGTCGAAAATTTGATCGCTCTGTAACCCTTGTGTTGGAATAAAGTTCAATGTTTTACTATGTACTGATACTGATGAGATATACGAGCCGAGATAATGTTTGAATTTTGTATGGACTTGTATATACTTATATTGTATTTCTACGACTGATTGTAACTGAACTGAAGCATTTGCAAAGACCCCTAACCTACATGTACCTCCCCTTGACCTCTTGAAAAATGGCTCAGGCCGAAGAGTTGTACTGTTACATACATGTACTGTACATTTTCAAGGTTAAATAAAGGTTGAAAAAAAATGTATTTTTATTAGCTTATTGGTTCATCAGCTGACAAAAGACAGCCAGGGTTACCCATCTAGTTACAAGACTATTTTAAAACCCTTGTACTGTGGGACCCATATATACAGTATATGGGTTGCACATACTGTACCATCTGTATACATGTGTATGTACGATTTGGGGGTGTTTCTCGTGCAATGCATCACACCACAGCGAAACACAACGAATGCGGAAGTAACTATGCCGCCACAGGGCAGAAAAGTCAAGGGTCTGTGACCTGATTAAGACATCAAATTACTTGAAAATATTGTGTAAAAAATTCAAGCAGGAGCAGGGGTTAAAGGGCTTAAACCATGGGGACAAGGACAACAAGCTATATAAGATAAGGACAGGACATTAAAATCAGAGTTGTCAACTCATTACATCTACCAGATTATCTATAGTTACATAAGGACACACCAATTTAATTTGCTGGTTCACTGATTCGCCCACTTCATTTTTTTCTGGTTTGAAAAAAAAAAAGAATTTCAGGCCAGGGGAGTTAAAAATGTACATCTCGGTGCGGCAAATTGTACTCCTTATATTAGCAGACCAACTCCCCTGGCATGTTATCTGTCTATCTGGCCAATTTCTACTCTTTCCAGTCGCCTCCCGAAGCCAGGTAGATGCTACTGGAAGCCGTACACAAGTTAGCGCCTGCGTTGGAAAGCCGTACCTGTCATATGTAGAAACCTACAGGTTGTTGGGTTAAGTACCTACTTATACAGTCAGTCTCTTGCCAGCCTGAAATTATTGTAAGACACCACTACTGTCTGCACTGCTCTGATTGATGTGACTTTACAAAACCACCGCAGGAATTTTCTTTGAGTATCTTCCTTGCGTAAACTATTTGATGAATGAAGTTTGTATCCAAGCTGCACAAGTTAGTGCTTGTATTGAAAGAATAAAAAAACAAGAATTCGGAGATCTCATACCTCCATGAAATATAATGTTTTTACACAGTTCACTACAGTACAGAACAAAATAACACAGGTTTTTAGTTTCAAACACACAGTAGCACCTTTGGCCTGGATATGGTCATGTAGGCTTTTCCATGTAACCTCATTAATTAAACCGGGCAGGCGCTGCCTCCACCCCGCACATCTGTTTTCCCGGAAGTTCTGCTACAGTACCAAGGTCAGCCACCAGGAGGCCCATATTTGACCTTGACCTTTGGCTTCCTAAGACCTACCAGCATACCAAATATCATCACAATCCATAAAGGCGTTCTGAAGTTATGCTGACTACAAATGTACTGAAACACACACACACACACACACACACAGACGCGCCAAAAACAATACCTCCATTTTTCATGGGGTAAAAACGTACCATGATGCCCTGTCCCTGTTGGTACTCGTTCACCAGCACATGGTTGGGCTTGTTGTCCCCGAACACCCCCAAGACCTGGATACGGTCTGCACACATCTGCAGCCACTGAGGAGGAGGGACAGAGGGAGTAAGGTTAGACACATCATCTTCATCTTCTTTTCTTGTCATCCTCAACTGAGGTAAAGCATAATGCTTTTTCAAGTAGCTTGGGCTTGCATATTTAGCATTTTAGCACACCTGGTCTAGCGGGTATTCGGACTTAGCTGCCCTGCCCGGTCCACCTAAACCGCTGCCCGGTCCGGTCCGAGGCCGCTAATGGGGGTTTTGCGTATCCCATGCGCCGGAGCAAGCATTTCGCTTTTTCTGAGTGCGGTTGCGCCCCCTAGCGGAAAGTATAATTCTTTTTGCATTGCTTGTAAGACTATTGGTGGTAATCATTAAAAACATACCCCGCGCGCTGCAGGGACCTCCACGATGGGGAAGTGGCGCTGCGCCACCCAGTCCTTATCTCAGCGCCACCAATTTTCCAAATTAGGGAATTAACTCCCATATTTCCCCGGTAGATTTGCTAGTCATTCGCTTTTTCTTCGGCCGAGCGGCGTGGATCGATTGAGCTGCTATTAATAAATTGGTCCCTATTGTCTGCACAGTCGATGAATTGTCGATCTCGCTATGACGCCACAAAGAAAACATTGTCAATGGTAGAAAATCAGACATCCCACTGGTGTTTTACAACGCAATTTTCATGTAATGTAAATAACTTCGACTACCTCTAGCTCTGTTTACATCGTCAAGCAAAGCGGGACGATCACCAAATAAAATAAAAAAACACGTGCACGCTAGTATCGGCAGTGCGGCGGGAAAATGATTCGTTGCCAGAAGAAGTGATACGAATGAAAATGACAAGCATAACATTCTTTCCCTTGTGGTATGAGCTTTGAGGCCGTAAAATGTTAAAAACAGCTAGAAACACTCTCGAAATGGCGACGCGTTGACGGTCCTTATTGGAAAACAAAGGGCAAAGGACAGAAAGATGGCATCCATATGTCGTGGATATTATAACTCGTTAAAACGATATAGCAAGTGCACGGAAAATGTATTTTTTCGGCAACATTGTAAATAAAAATCCATTCATATTTATTGTAAGTTTCTTTTTTAAATTGCCTTAGATTTTGTAGTGTTAAAATATAATTAATTGGTAACTTCTTCGAATGTGTGGTTAGATGCTATGAATGGCTAAGAAAATTGCTTATATATTCACTGCATACTAGTACTAGTAACTTTGAAGTCCATATTTTTTTACATAACTAAGATAACGTGAGGTTAAGATTCTTGTTGCAATATAACCGTGTTTGATATTATTGCAGTCTTTCAAGCCTTTCAGATTTATGTTTTATTAAAGTATATCTCTGTCTATCTAACTTGCGGCTTTTTTTAACACAGCGCGCCACCAAGCTTGGATTTCCTTGAGGTGTACATGTTCAAGCTCTTGTCGCCGGCGCTCAAAGAGGCGCCCCCACTCAAAGTGGTTTTAAACCTCCTTGCCCCACATCTAACGTTCAATGGCTTGAAGCCAGCACTGGTAAGACCTGCAAGAATGTTCCTCCTATGTATACAAGAGTTAACGTCGCAGTCTTTCCCACAGATATTTTGGGGAAGTTCGGTGGAGAGAAAAATTTCAATACACTCCTTCCTCGGCGTTCTACACGCCATTTTCCCGCGTATATGAAACACACGTGAACGGAGGCATGAAAACAACAAACAATGCGTAGTGAGAATTGACCACGCCCACTGGAAGAACTATGAGGAAATCAAAGACACACCGCTGTCAGTCATGGCATAGCAACCGCCGGGCCGCATGGCAACCTGTCTCCGGGAAGGGCCTTGTCAGATGATGACCCACACTAGTACACGACCTTGCAGCGACGGACTTCTGGGGCGGGTTTTCATACCTAGGCACCAATAAGGCTAAAAAGGTTACATACCAACGTATATGGCTCGAATAACAACACATTTTTGCCTCTTGTCTGTCAAATAGTATGCTCGGATATTGATACTCCATTATTCAAAAATACAATAAACAGTTCAGCGATGAATAGCATCGATATATGTGTCGCTTTTTTCTATCCTGCTGTGGCGACTCAATCGGCATGTCGGCATTGAAATACATGTTTGAATACGTTAGCGTAAGGTCGCTAATTTTTTGTTTATGTATTTCTTTTGTTCAGTTCACCGATTTTCTTCAAATCGTTTCGCAGTTCTTTGTGTCTTTCTTGATTATAACCTTGATTTATTGTAAAGGCGGACTGACGCTTATGAATTAGAATTGGCCTAGGCATCTACAGCTATGGCATTGAAAGATATCATTGAAACAAATCTCTGCTTGGAAAGTGGAGCAATTTCGCTAAATGCTAAAATTGTTTTGTTAAATGGAAGTAAATATCCTTCTCAAGGCAAACTCATATTGACATACTAAGTACTCTGCAGTGGAAATATCAGTGGGTAAATAGTTGGTGAAAAAAACATAATTGGGAGGCACTTGATGCTGACAAGGAGTAGATTTTATTGGGTGAACTGTGTGTACTGTTGCATTTCCGGTGCTTTCCGCTAGGGGGCGCTAAGGGGCGCAACCGCACGCAGAAAAAGCGAAATGCTTGCTCCGGCGCATGGGATACGCAAAACCCCCATTAGCGGCCTCGGACCGGACCGGGCAGCGGTTTAGATGGACCGGGCAGGGCAGCTAAGTCCGAATACCCCTGGTCTAGCACCCTTTGAATTCGTTTCTAGCGACAGTTAATTTTCCATGTAAGGTGCACCATGGCTTTAAAGTAGACCTTCTGTACCTGCACATTTGCTTCGCTGCGTCTGGACGTGCCAGATACCACACAACACATCATGTTCATAGCCTTTGAATTCTGTTTCTAGTGACAGTTATTTCCATGTATGGTGCACCATGGCTTTAAAGCAGGCCTTCTGTACCTGCACATTTGCTTTGCTGCATCTGGACTTGCATAATACCCCCACACCACATCATGTTCATAGCTTTCCAGCCCTTTGAATTCTGTTTCTAGCGACAGTTAATTTTCCATGTAAGGTGCCACCACCTTGGCTTTAAAGCCTAGGCCTTCTGTACCTGGCACATTTGCTTTGCTGCATCTGGACTTGCATAATACCCCACACCACATCATGTTCATAGCTTTCCAGCCCTTTGA